TAAAGAATATTTTTTCCAAGGACCAGCAAGGCGTAGATTTTTTAAAGAATATTTTTTCCAAGGACCAACAAGGCGTAGATTTTTTAAAGAATATTTTTTCCAAGGACCAACAAGGCGTAGATTTTTTAAAGAATATTTTTTCCAAGGACCAACAAGGCGTAGATTTTTTAAAGAATATTTTTTCCAAGGACCAACATGGCGTAGATTTTTTAAAGAATATTTTTTCCAAGGACCAACAAGGCGTAGATTTTTTAAAGAATATTTTTTCCAAGGACCAACAAGGCGTAGATTTTTTAAAGAATATTTTTTCCAAGGACCAACAAAGCGTAGAATTTTTAAAGAATATTTTTTCCAAGGACCAACAAGGCGTAGATTTTTTAAAGAATATTTTTTCCAAGGACCAACAAGGCGTAGATTTTTTAAAGAATATTTTTTCCAAAGACCAACAAGGTGTAGATTTTTTAAAGAATATTTTTTCCAAGGACCTACAATGCGTAGATTTTTTAAAGAATATTTTTTCCAAGGAACAACAAGGCGTAGTTTAATAAATATTTTTTTCCAAGGACTAACAAGGCACAGTTTAATAAATATTTTTTTCCAAGGACTAACAAGGCATAGTTTAATAAATATTTTTTTCAAGGACTTACAAGGCATAGTTTAATACATATTTTTTTCCAAGGACTAACAAGGCATAGTTTAATACATATTTTTTTCCAAGGACTAACAAGGCGTAGATTTTTTAAAGATTATTTTTTCCAAGAACCAACAAGTTGTAGATTTTTTAAAGAATATTTTTCCAAGGACCAACAATGCGTAGATTTTTTAAAGAATATTTTTTCCAAGGAACAACAAGGCGTAGTTTAATAAATATTTTTTTCCAAGGACTAACAAGGCATAGTTTAATAAATATTTTTTTCAAGGACTAACAAGGCATAGTTTAATAAATATTTTTTTTCCAAGGACTAACAAGGCATAGTTTAATAAATATTTTTTTTTCCAAGGACTAACAAGGCATAGTTTAGAAAAATATTTTTAAGAGACTTTTTTAAACAACATTTTTCAAAGACTATCAAGGCGGAGTTTTTAAACAACATTTTTTAAAGGACTTTCAAGGCATAGATTTAAAAAATATATATTTTTTCCAAAGACTATCAAGGCGGAGTCATTAAAAAATATTTTTCAAAGACTATCAAGGCGTGGTTTTAAACAAAAATGTTCAAAGACTATCAAGGCGGAGTTTTTAAACAAGATTTTTTAAGGGACTTGCACGGCATAGATTTAAAAAAATATTTATGTTTCCAAAGACTATCAAATGACTACCAAAAGCTCATGCATTTATGTTGTGTAGATATCCAGGTTGTTGTTTTTGGTACTCAGCTTTTATATATTTGAGCTAAGAATATTGCCGAAGGAAATGGTTCCATGTTATCGAGCTTTGTGGGCTATTTCATTCTTAATGCTTCCAATGGAAAAAAATGAAACCATATCCATAATATCATCCACATTACCTAAGCATTGCCATTCATTTGTCAAAAGAAGCAATTCATCTATTGCAATGTCCCAATTCCTAACCCCCCAAACAAACATCAACAACAACAATCAAACAAAATTTATCAAAAAATACAAAAAATTGCGTGTGCATGTAAATTTTTTTTATTTGGTTGATTTGTGTACCGTATAATATAACTTGATAGCACAAAATGCTACAGGCGGCGCCATCCGTGCAATTATGATGTGCATACATGCTTACTTCAACATTTGGTGTGAGGCCCGGGCCGGTTGGTCGGTGTTTATGAAGAGGCGATCAGCTGTACATAAAATATCCACACTACCAGAGGCAACACCCGCCCAGTTGCAGGCATTCGATGATGTTTGTGCTATATGTTATCAGGTATGATTTGGCAATACATTTGATTAAACAATTAATAACAAATTGTACATTTTTTATTTAGGAAATGCATTCGGCAAAAATCACCCGTTGTCGTCACTATTTCCATGGTGTATGCCTGCGCAAATGGTTATATGTCCAGGATAGATGTCCATTGTGTCATGAAATCATGATGTACACGGATAGAACCGATGATGCTGACAATAATGTGCCACACCAACAGGATATGGATGCTCCGTTAGTTAATCGCAATAGAGAGGTGAGTGTGATAGACATGTTTTCCAATCAAGATAATGAGGTGGAGTATGGATTCAAATACAAAAACAAGGGACTATACTTACCCAACATGAACCCTAAATACCAAATTAAATATCCGTTGTTTGGAAAGTGCAGTTAGATCCTCCCAAATAACTTAAGTAGGGCGTCAACATCATATGGGTCTTCCGTCAACAGAATACCAAACGAATCTTTAGAAGAACAAAGCCCAAAGAAGACCACCTACAGTTACCTAAATGGTCATACATAGCAGGCCAAATCCTCTCCAAATGGGTCTTCAATCTCTACACAACTAAATTTTAAAACATTTTTTAAATTACTCTCTTTCATTTTGCAGGATGTAGCTATAGAAAATGCTCGTAGCCGTTCGACAACAACTGATGCTGATAACAATACATCATCATCTTCAACGTCGACGACATCAACATCTGCCAGCCTCTTGGCTAGTGCTAGTGGTGTGGCTAGCGTAAGCTCTGGCCTCGTTAGCAGTAATTTTAGTACGGGCAGTGGTGGCGGAAGTTCTGCATCATCGTCACAGATGAATACCACCGCACCGACAACATCGAGAACAGCAGCTGTTGCTGCCACCGCCACAGCGGCAGCGAGTAATTCAACGCATAGTTTTCGGTTTCAACCCGATTTGGATGTACAGGATTAACTATAATTATAATTTAATGTAACTATAAAATAAAAAAAAAACCCAAAAAACACAATAAAAATAAAATATTATATATATACTATAATTACTACTTTAGGTGTACTTATGTATAAATGAAATTTGCAGAAACCACATACACAACAACATATGTTTATTATAGAAATTTAATTAATTAATTTAAGTGAAAAACACACACATTTCTGGGCGACAATATATTTTTATTAAGATTTTTTTCTTTTTTCATCGAAATAAGTCGTTTTTTTGTTTGTTTATATAAATACTATGCATAGATATGTGTTGAGTTTTTTTTTTAAGAAAATAATATTTTGTTTTAGAAAAAAAATGAAGGGAAAAAGCATTGCTTAATTGTTTTTTTTTTATAAAATAAAAATTATATACACATAAATAATTATTTAAAATTGAGATGATTTTAATGTCCTTCACTAAAATGGGAAAGATGATTATTCAATTTGATAGAACTTTTAAAAGGATGTGCTATTCTAAAGACCACGTAAAGACCATTTTAAACATCAATTTGGTTTCCAGTAAATAGAAGGTCCATTCATGCTAATTTCCATGCTAATTTATTTTTCTATAGATTAAACCCATTCGATCTTCTATAGATAGTAGACGGAGGGAAGAAGAATATTCGATTTGATAGGTCTTTTAAAGGGATGTGCTATTCTAAATACATAGAAGGCCCAGTTGGTATTTTATAGATATAAGACCAGCCTTTTGTTGATGGAAGGCCCTTTTGATATGCTGGTATTTTATTGATTTAAGGGCCTTCAGTTGGTATTTCCGTGTGTGTTTTTGGATCGAAGACCCCTTTGACCTTCTGTACGTAGAATACCCATTACGTTTTCTGTAGACCCCTATGGGGTATTCTATCAAATGAAGAACCCTCCAGTCATCTGTAGATAGTAGACCCTTTTGATATTCTGTTTGGTTTTATATTTATCGAAGACCCATTTGGTCGTTTGTAGATATTTTGGGACCGTTTGGTTTTCCATATTTTGAAGGTATACTTCATATTTTAAAATTGACTGATCAATTTGGTATTCTATGGTAAAAGCTGTAGGTAGTTAAGAATTCCTTTGGTTTTGTATATATAGAAGATGGTTCCTTGGTCAACTGGAACTTACGCTTATGTTATTGTAGAAAAGTAGTTAATTTTTCCACTCATGGGTCTTGCCAATTGGAGGAGGCATTTGTTTGTTAAGGGACCACTACGATAAATCGAGTATGGAATTGCGATTTGAAAGATCGATTATTATTCCCAAAAATTGTATACTTTTGAGTATTCTCACTATTGATTTACACTGCAAAATCACTTCCCGAACTTCTCTTAATTTTTCCCCATTCAATTGAAATTTAGAAAAAATGTAGAAATCGTTTTTAATTCTAGTACTCATTCCCCATAATCGGCGCCTTAAAAATATATAAATACTTCTACTTGTCACAAATCTTTCGTGTAATGTTCTTTCTCAACACCCAAGTTATAAACACAAAAAAATCTTTTCCCTCAATTTTAATTACTTAAAAAACGGCAGCAAATTAAGAAAAAAATATGTTATCCCCTATACCAATTAATACAGTAAGGAAAAATATTAATAATGATATACATATATTGTGAAGTCTGATACGATGAAATCTTAAGCAGAATAAAAATCATAATAAATTATAGCAATGTATATTAATAAACGACAAAATAAAAAAACCAAAAAAAAGAAATAAATAAAACTTTCAAACACAGAGTTAATGTTTTTAGGTTAATTTTATATAATGGAAATTGACAAAAATATAAATACTATTATCCCAAAAATATATATTTAATTAAAAAAAAAACAAAGCCACAAACAACCCATAAAAACAACTCTATAATTTACTTTCTAAATAATGGCATATTATATTGTAAAGTTAAATTGGATAAGGTAAATATAAAAAATAAACAAATTAAATTATTTTTTAAAATAAAAAAAAATAAAACAAATAAAATTGTATAATTTTAATTTAACTAATTTCTTTCGGTTTATATAACAACAACAATGTTATTTTACAAATTTGTTCATAAATTATTTATTTATTTTTTTTTAACAAAGTAAACATCATCCTAGTTGTCTCCATATGCGGTATATCATCTCTGCATTCACGTTGCCTCGGCTGCCACAGTTTGTATTAATTGAAAATTAAATCATTATAATTACTTAACAAATGATAGGGTGATACACGACAACAGGTGGTTGTGCGTACAACGGTAACACGATCGGCACGTTCAAAATTGGCTTTAACCGTTTCATAATAACGACCATCACTACAAAAAAGGAAATAATTTTAATTATTTATTACTTTTTATTCGAAATTCAGAAGAGTGCTTTATTTACCTCAACACCATGCATCGCAATTTCAAACATTTAACGCGCAACAAGTCGATGGCCTTTTGACTCTTATCCGAAAAACGTAAATTGTCTGGATCCCATCTGTAATAAAAACCACATTTCAATCATTAGTAGATTTGTTATTTTTTAATGAAGTTATAATTAGGGAACAATTTCTGCTGCCTTATGCCAAGCCTATCGAGTGACAATATTTTGGAACCAAAAACTAATCTTCAATGGTTCCAAATCTGCCAGTTGCATTTTCCGCAAGTTAATCTGTTCCCTGTGGAACAGATTAACAGGAAATGGACTGCACCAAAACACCCGTTTTATCACACTATATGATCTCACCTATTTCGGCATATGAAACCAATTCTATCATCAACACATTACATTCCTCTCTACCTGTAACTCTCGGGGCCATATTATAACTGTCGGATGAAAATGACACGCGCACGCGCCCTTCGTGTATATCACAGTTACGTCGTTCTTCTAGAGTTAGCGAATGACTTAACCGTTGTCTACAAGTTACTTGTTCCGGCCACAATGTTATATTGTTTCAAGTTATATAGCCACCTTTTACTTTTATGCTGCATACTAACACACAGGTTTCACCACCTATCCTGGAGAGAAGGTAAGAACCTGTATAATAGCCAAAAAAAATACATTTTATGCTTCTTTCAAATTTCAGCTGATATGACGACAGCTAGACTCGACAGGGGTAACTCCAGACCCCTCATAGTTTCTGCCGTGTATATTCGGTATGGAGCGCCTGACCGGAAGTATGCAAACTGAAGAATGGAAGAAACGAACGACATTTGTGATCTGGGCATTGACATTGTGATGCCAATTCCCACCATTTCCACCGGGAAAGCAGTGATACCAATCCACGAGATGAGTCCATATTCGATTTTATACTTAGATATAATCATAGAAAATATAAAGAGGCAATATAGCGACGTTCGCAGAGTGAATTCCCACCAGGGACGAAATCTCAGCCGAACAAATGACCATTTCTACCTGAGAACCAGTGATACCAATTCATGAGGTGAGTCCATATTCGATTATATACTTCCATATTGTCATTGACATCAGGCATGGGTGACTCTGGTCTAAGGAATTCGGAGGTATCTTAAAAATGTTCGCTTTCAAGATTTCCAACTCTAGAGTAAAAATAAAGTTTTATAGGAACTCTTGGAATACGAACTGTGGCAAGTTCAAAGGTAAAACAGCATTTTCATTCGTGGCATAACGATCTCAGAACGGTTGAGGATATTCAGAGAGCTGTGATTGAGGTTAGAGAAACTCTTCTGAGGTTTCTTGTCCTTTAACATACCCTGGGGGGAATCTTAGCCGGTATGGTGGTCAAATAATCTAGCAGCGTGAAAAAGTGTATAACAAAGCTAGTAAGATGAAATAGAAAACAGATTGGGATGTTTACAGAAAACAATTCGATAAGTACAATCGTGAAATCAAGAAGGGTAACCGTAGGTCTTATAACAAAGCGCCCAGATTTCGCAATGGGCAATAAATAGCTTTTAGTCATACAAATCCCCTGGTCTAGATGTCATAATTCCGGTCATGTTGTAGCATGTAGATGATCGTATGTTGATTACACTAATTTTGTCTAATTTTATCGGAAGCCGAGTCACATGCTACCTTAGGACTATAGACCGATTCTTTCTTTCTACTCATGACACTAGAACGGTTACTAGACCTCGAAACTAGGAATACCATTAATTTGGAAATCATCATAACATAAAGGTTGTAGCCTATGCGATGATGTAGTCATGTTATTCGGCGGGAAAGTTCGTCTGGCTATGCTTTATAAATTCTGTCTAACTGGGCCCAGGCCAATGGTAGCCAATGTCTGCCAGCACAGTACCGATTGATACTCTTCTATTTGTTTATTTTTCTACTCACCTTAATTCCAAACGTTCCAAATTTCCACAGCTTGAAGCAATGGTGTCCATCAGTTGATCAACATGAATATTGACACCTAATTTTTCCGAAGTACCCATAACCAGGATCCTAGAAATATATAAATAATCGTTAATATAAAAATTCGAAATTCTATTGCAAATAAATTATAGCTAAAAGAGCACAAACGATGTCTGTAAACGAATGATTTGCTTTAGACTTCCGAACAGCAAATGCATCAGCCATAACAATTATTATCACTTCTTAGTTCCATTGAGCTTGAAAAAGTTAGTTTTGTTAAAATTATAGATTTGCTTTTAAATAGAATTTATAGCAATTAAAAGATTTGATAGTTCAATTAGTCTTTTTTATCGTATCCAACGTTCCAACTCACTTAGCATTGGTCAAGACGGGTAAAATACTCATCCATAGCTGATCGGTGATGTGAGGCATGCCAGACAAACAGCACGCACTCAATTGTTGACCATGACGGGTCAAAAACTTTTGTAAACCATCATCGGATACATTATCCGATGAATCCAAATCAATGGACATTAAAGATCTGCAATTAAAAATAAGATTTACTATTGAAAATGATATAAAATGTGTGTCCTCCCTACCTTGTCATTCCCGATTCCATCCACTGCTTCAAGACCGTATCATTAAAGCCATTGATTTGACCCGCGGACAAGAAACGCAAATTCGGTATACGTGTCAACATGTCTACCAAACATTCGGTAGATAAGTCGGTTGCTGTAATATCCAACTCTTGCAAGGCACATTTATCCCAGTCTACTTGCATGACAAACTCAGATTTCAAACTCGTGCCATTCATTAGCAGACAGGTTAAACGTTTCGAGCGTTGGATTAAAGTTTTTAATGTTGAGCCTGTGACTTTATTGCAAAAATTCACGGCCAAACATTCTAACTGAATACAGTTCGAGCTGAAGGCATCGATATGCGAGTCATCAATGAAATTGATGCCATACAAATTGATGACCCTCAGATTTGGTGTAGCCGATTTCAATTTGTGTACATTGATAACTTCGTAGATTTCCTCCTCTTCCTCTTCGCATTTTTCATAGGTACCGATTAGATGCAACACCTCCAGGCCATTGATGAAATTGTAGATTTTACGCATAAAACCTTCCATAAAGATGACCTCCGACAGGCAAATGCACATGTAGCGCAATTTGGTGGGGAAGGCTTGCATTTCACTGAAATCGTGCAATTGCATAGCTGGAAGGGTGAGAAGAAAATTAAAATTCGTTTTGAAAACCTTGACTTATTTTTTTATTTTTATTTTGTTTTACTTACCAGTTGAGAAATCCAGTAGCATATGTGTCAAATTGGGACATTTGGCGGATAATTCATGCAGTACCGTGTGGGTAATCAACTCAATCGGCAGCTCAATGTAACGCAATGTTGGTCCAAAACGTACGGCAATCAAAGACAGCAGCGACTCCAATGATCCCACATGTAAACCAGACACCTCAGGCCTTAGTGAGACATTCTTCCACAAACGGGTATCATAGGCAATTTGGCGCCAGCGACGACATACTCTGGCCAAGCGACAAATTTCACGATGTGACAAGTAAGAGAAAATTTGCAAAATTACTTTGTCCGGAAGTTTTTCAATAGTCTATGGGGGGTGGGTAATAAAAAATTATTAATATTTATTTCTTTAATTTACACGGAAAGATATGGGAATGATATGGATGATAGACAAAATAATTAAAATTGAGTTAACGGAACTCCCCCTTCCCATGCGCGTCAAACAGGATCTGCATGATATACATAGAGGGGGAACAATACAAAATGGAGCCTCTATAGAAAGATGCTTAGCAAGCAGGTTTGGATATTAAAATAATTTATATAATTGTTTTTATTTTTAGAAAAAAATACTTGGAAGCAGCTGTCGAATTAAAAAAAAAACATGTCGGTTTCTTCGAAGTCTAGAATGGAAATAAAATACCAGAAGGAAGACCATTAAATATGACAAATCGAGGAGACATGGGGGCTAAGAATCCGAAAGACAAGCTTTTGTATAAAGAGACGGGTGTCAACTGTCCTCCGACGTCGAGGCACCGATCGAATTTTATCAATTTACTTAAATCTCAAAGTATACAATTGTACCTTATGAACAGATAATCGCATCTCAACATAATTTGTATAACAAAAATATAAACAAGGAAAATTAAAAAATAAACTTTTTGTTTCTTCACAAGAAAGTACATTAATATTCAAAAAATTTGATATTTTATTTCACAAGAAAGCATATGATTGTACCTTTCATATAACGCCACCTTCATATTAACATCTACAATACGAAAAAAGTTACAACAAAACGATATGAGATATTTAATTTTCCACGCCTAAGGCTGCAATAGTCCCTCACAAAATATACTTAAATATCCACGTTTAAGCCTGCAATGGTCCCTCACAAAATATTCTTAAAAAGTCCACGCCTAAGGCTGCAATAGTCCTTCACAAAATATTCTTTAAAAATCCATGCCTAAGGCTGCAATAGTCCCTCACAAAATATTCTTTAAAAATCCATGCCTAAGGCTGCAATAGTCCCTCACAAAATATTCTTTAAAAATCCACGCCTAAGGCTGCAATAGTCCCTCACAAAATATTCTTTAAAAATCCACGCCTAAGGCTGCAATAGTCCCTTACAAAATATTCTTTAAAAATCCACGCCTAAGGCTGCAATAGTCCCTCACAAAATATTCTTTAAAATCCACGCCTAAGGCTGCAATAGTCCCTCACAAAATATTCTTAAAAAATCCACGCCTAAGGCTGCAATAGTACCTCACAAAATATTCTTAAAAATCCACGCCTAAGGCTGCAATAGTACCTCACAAAATAATCTTAAAGAGACCACGCTTAAGGCTTCAATAGTCCCTCACAAAATATCCGTAAGAAGTCCACGTCTAGGGCTGCAATAGTCCCTCACAAAATGTTATTTAAATGTTCACGCCTTAGGCTGCAATAGTCCCTATCAAAATATTCTCAAAAAGTCCACGCCTAAGGCTACAATAGTCCCTCACAAAATATTCTTAAAAAGTCCACGCCTAAGGTTGCAATATGTCCTCACAAAATATTCTCAAAAAGTCCACGTCTAAGGCTGCAATCGTCCCTCACAAAATATTCTTAAAAAGTCCACGCCTAAGGCTGCAATAGTCCCTCACAAAATGTTCTTTAAATGTTCACTCCTAAGGCTACAATAGTCCCGCACAAACTATTCTTTAAAAAGTCCACGCCTAAGGCTGCAATAGTCCCTAACAAAATATTCTTAAAAAGTCCACACCTAGGGCTGCAATAATCCCTCACAAAATATTCTTAAAAAGTCCACGCCTAAGGCTGCAATAGTCTCTCACAAATTATTCTTAAAAAGTCCACGCCTATTCATTGTGTAATAAAAATAAGGACCAAAAATTTGGCACCCAATACACATAGATAAAAACTACAAATTCTCCCCTTACCAATAGTGAATGTTTCACGTCAATACATGTATTCATTACTGAGCTATAGCTATTTAAAGTTTAGCTTGTGTCAAAATATAGCGGCTACACGATTCTGTTTGCCTATTACCTGAAATTGAAAAAGTGAAGAAATTGCATGTTCACAAAAACAGATGCGAGGATAGGTAGTTGGTGTGTTACCAGATTGGTTAGTACTTACGTTGTGTTTTTTATGTTTGTTCGTCAAATTCTGGGCATATTTTAAGGCGTTACATGAAAAACATACCGCATACAAAATTGTAATGAATATCGTATTTCAATGCATGCATGTAAAAGTATGCTCATTATTTGTAAACCAAAAAGTGAAACACAAATCGAACGATCTGGCAACAATTACTGAATACTTCTTTTTGTTTTTTTGTAACTTGGAATTTCTTCATTTTTATTTTTTTGTAGTAATAGCCAAACAGAATCGCTTGCAGCAATATTTTGGACACAACATCAATTTCAAATATTTATATTTCAGTAATGAATGCATGTACTGGCATGAAATATTCACTATATGTTATTAATTTGTTTAAAAAACTGTCTTTAAAGGGACGTTTTTAGAAAAACGACGACTGCTCCCATTTTTCCTCCGAATTTGTACTTGAAGATATATGGAAAAAGATCTACGACTAAAGAAATGTGTAAAAATTTACAATTGAAGAAATGTTTTATGCAATCAAGAGGCTTGGAATTTTTAAAGAATATTTTGGAAAAGGACAATAGGAGGCGTGGATTTTTAAAAGAATATTTTGGAAAAGGACAGTTCTTCAAGGACTATAAGAGGCCAGATTTATTTATAGAATACTTTTCCAAGGACTATAAGAGGCTTCGATTAGTTAAGGAATATTTTTCAAGGACCAGAAGAGGCGAGGATCTGTTAAGGAATATTTTTCAAAGACTAAAAGAGGCGTAAATCTGTTAAGGAATATCTTTCAAGGACTAAAAGAGGGGTGAATCTGTTAAGGATTAGTCTCTCAATGACTAAAAGATGCGTGAATTTGTTAAGGAATAACTCTCAAGGACTAGAAAAGGCGGGAATCTGTAAAGGACTATAAGAGGCTTCGATTTTTCAAGTACTAGAAGAGACGTCGATTTTTTCAAGGACTATAAGAGGCGTCGATTTTCAAGGACTAGAAGAGGCGTCGATTTTTTCAAGGACTATAAGAGGCGTCGATTTTTCAAGGACTATAAGAGGCGTCCACTCCATCGGTTACCTCTTCCACAAAGTGCCAACATTTTCAGTTATTATAATTTCAGTATTAAGCGCATGTAACGTCACGATCGAAGATGGGGCCCACCGGACCATTCCGTCTTGTGCCTCCCACACAATGAAATATTCCATACATTATAAAAAATCAGTTATGAATCAAGCCGTCGACTTTTCATCTGATATAGAACGGCACGAAATTCGAACTATATTCGGTAAAATTAAATCGTTTATTTTGAAAGTGGGGAAAGCCCATTTTAGGTTCTAATACAAATCTTGGTTTTTCTAGAAAAGTTTACAAAACATAACACGTTATATATTCTATCATGTTTAAGGGTACACAGCCATAAACCAAATGAATACCACCCACTTATCAATTCAAATCAATTCAATCAATTCAAAACCAAATCTTTATATATGGTAATATAAGAAAAAAATGAACGCAAACCACGTTCAAAAAACTGTATTGTGCACTAAAACTTCAGAATTCCCTCTATTCATTGCTGTAAATTTTATGAAAATCGCTTAAGTAGTTGCTGAGTTATTTGCATTTCAATTCAACGATGCACCGAAATATACTTCCTATTCGATTCTGAGCGCCTATTACCCGAATTTGAAAAATCCCACAAAAAGCGGTCTTTTAAAAACGGCAAAATTTTTCATAATGTCTGTTTGTAAAGAAAATCATAGCATACTTGTAGGACAAAAACAATTCATGATCCGATTTCTTGTTGCTTGATATGTAGGTAGGTAGAATTGTTTGAAATTTATGTACGTATTTAATGTAAAATATATTTACTTACACATACACACAAATAGTACCTGTTATGAGGAAAAAATTTCCATTTTACAAGACCGATTTTTGAGTGATTTTTCGGTAATAGGCGCCCAGAACCCAACAGAAAGTATCTTTCGCAGCATCGTTGAATTCAAATGCAAATAACTCAGCGAATACTTAACCGATTTTTATGAAATTTGCACCAGATATTTAGGGGAAATTCTTATTTTTATTACACAATGAGAAAACATATATTAAATGGTGTTATGTAATTAAAAATTCGTAGTATATGAAAGATTCGGATATTTAAACTACCGATACGAATTTTTTAAAGGCTATTTTGTGAGGAACTATTACAGACTTATGCGTGAATTTTCTAATGGTTTGTGAGGAAATCTTGCAACCATAGGCTTGGAATTTTTAAGAGTATTTTATCAGGGAATATTACAGCCTTATGCTTGGACTTTTAAAGAACATTTTGTGAGGGACTATTGTAGCCTTCGGCGTGGACTTTTTAAGAATATTTTATGAGGGACTACTGCAAACTTGGGAATGGACTTTTTAAGAATATTTTGTGAGGGACTATTGCAGCCTTAGGCATGGACTTTTTAAGAATATTTTGTGAGGGACTGTTGCAAACTTGGGAATGGACTTTTTAAGAATAATTTTTGAGGGTCTATTGCAGCCTTAGGCGTTGACTTCTTAAGAATATTTTCTGAGGGACTATTGCAGCCTTGGGGTGGACTTTTTAAGAATATTTTGTGAGGGACTATTGCAGCCTTGGGGTGGACTTTTAAAGAATATTGCTGCCTTAGACGTGGACTTTTTAAGAATATTTTGTGGGGGACTATTGCAGCCTTAGGCGTGGACTTTTTAAGAAAATTTTGTGAGGGACTATTGTAGCCTTAGGCGTGGACTTATTAAGAATATTATGTGCGGGACTATTGCAGCCTTAGGCGTGGACTTTTTAGGAATATTTTGTAAGGGACTATTTCAGCCTTAGGCTTGGAATTTTTAAGAATATTTTGTGAGGGACTATTGTAGGCTAGGCGTGAACTTTTTAAGAATATTTTTTGAGGGACTATGGCAGCCTTAGGCGTGAACATTTAAACAACATTTTGTGAGGGACTATTACAGCCTTAGGCGTGGACTTTTTAAGGATATTTTGTGAGGGACTATTGCAGCCTTATGCGTGGACTTTTTAAGAATATTTTGTGAGGGCCTATTGCAGCCTTAGGCGTGGACTATTTAAGTATATTTTGTGAGGGACTATTGCAGCCCTAGGCGTGGACTTTTTAAGAATATTATGTGCGGGACTATTGTAGCCTTAGGCGTGGACTTCTTAAGGATATTTTGTGAGGGACTATTGCTGCCCTAGGCGTGAACATTTAAAGAAAATTTTGTGAGGGACTATTGCAGCCTTAGGCGTAGACTTTTTAAGAATATTATGTGCGGGACTATTGCAGCCATGGGCCTGGACTTTTAAGAATGTTATGTTAAGAATGTCATCCTGTAACTGTAAGCTGTAACTTTTGTTAAAAATTGTTCCATTTACACAAGTGAGGTAGGTTTCTTATTGAAAGGAAACTATATGTCTTTGTTATAGTACATTTACATTGTACCGGATTAAGTTAGCACAGTGAGTTTAATTGTTTAATTTGTTTAATAAATCCTCATAATGTTGGTCTTGCAAAACTGATATGCACAATTTGAATCATACCCATCAACAGATGGCGCTGAAGAATGGTTTTTCTCTTTTTTGTTACAGTGGCAAATCCGGTAAAACTTCAGTTAGAGGTTTACAAAGAAGATATCATAATATACTCTTGTTGTTGCATAGTAAAATAGGTCTAGGAGACCTTGTTAAAATTATCGACGCATTGTCATGGATATAATCACTATTTATCAAAACAAATATTTTTTATATTTAAATATGTTTTGTTATAAATTAAAAATCACGCATTTCGGTTTTAAAATTATATATTATTTTCTGAAGTATTTTTTTTTAACGGCATAATATTATAAGTCTAAAATAAACTTATAACCACCACATAAACCAATTAGAAATCGCTTCACTTTTTTTCTTTTAAATTGAATATTATCATAAATATTAATATCATTAATGTAATATATGATTTTCATATTCCATGATTATAATTTAAACCAAAGTGTTTTGAAATACTTTTTTTCCACTGGATTTACAAAGTATTCACATTTTTTTGGCGTTTGTTTTTGTTTATTTTCTTGTCTTCTTTTTTTAAATTTTCTATAATGCGGCGGGTGTCATTTGTGTATTGAAAGTGTTCCACAAATTTTTGTTTTCTTTTTTAAACACTTTTTCTTTTTTGGCTTTTGGCTATAATTAGATTTTGAAAAAAAGGAACACACATTTTTCGTTTTTTTTCTAATTGAAAATATTGACTGGTTCAAAGTAATTTAAACTTTGTGGGTGATTTAATATATTTTGGGTAGATGTTTTTCTATAAAATTACATTTTCGATTTAAATTTCGAATGTAATTCTTTATTTTTAACATTCAATTCGATTCTTTCACAAATTTTTCACTATTGAACTTGACCCGATTCATTTTTTTATTTGACATACCGTATCAGCAAAGGGACTACGAACGGTGCCATCTGACAAATACACTTGAGATGCTTCCACGGCCAATTGTCCCCAGATATCGGTAGATAAATCCATTTTTATTTAATAATTAAAAAAATTGCTCCCGATATCCGCTTAAAAATTCTTATATAAATTTTCGTCTTTTCTTCTTAAATTTCGTGGCCGCTAGCAATCAATTCAATACTGTTACTGCGAGGGAATCTCCAAAAGAAAAACAAAAAACACTCTGATTGATACAGAAGAGGTATTCTAAATTTAGGATCTCTCTGTGAGAGAGTGGATACGCATTAATTTTTCTTCACAGTTAAGATTTGAGAAAACAAAAATGTGAGGAAGACTACAGAATCTATGCAGGCAGTTAATTTGATAAAAACAAATCAGCTGTTTTCAAAACTTTTTGAGTAATGAAAGACAACAAAAATCCAAAATAGTTGTTGTTTAGAAAATCAATGCTATAGCATAAAATGTTTAAAAATGAGAGTGAAATGATGTTTTGGTTTTCAATTTATTTTTTCAAATACTCACCAATTTCTCTTTGGATACCAAATTAATATCATCCCGGCCGCCAATGGCCGATTGGTGGGCTGTCAAAACATTCCAATTATCCATGTTTTAGGTTTTTGTATTTTTTGTTTTGTGTATATGTTTCTTTATTTTTTTTCTCGGGTGCGTGAAGTAACGTAAAAGCAATCAACACAAAATTTTGGATTGCAGTAATTTTGTTTATTTTTACAAGAGTTTATTTTTTGGATTTATGTGTATGGCGGGTGTAACGAAGCCGATAAAATAACATGTGCTGAAGTATCAAACGATTGTGTTTTTATTCCAAGAAGTGGGTGCAGCTAAGGTTCAAGCTATATAATTTGGTGTAATACAAAGCTTCTTGGTGTTGGGTACAATCAGGATGTAATACCTAAAAAATATTCAAACAATAACGCTTATTTCATCGATGTTGTATTGTACTCTAATAAAATTCCCATGATGAATTTTATAAAAATAAAATGAATTTTATAAAAATAAAATACAACATAATTATTTATATTGGGTTTGATGATAATATAATAATGGAATAAATGATAACGTAAATCGAATATCCACTGTGTCGGAGATACGTTCGTTCAGTTCAGAATATGGGGCGTATGGTTGTTACATAAAGTCATCTTTAAAGCACTTATACGGGCTAACGAATAAATTGAATTGTTTATTTGCTCGAAGATTGTAAATTCAATTTTTAAAAGTAATCTAAGGTTTCAAATTTTAATGCGTTATCCTGTACATAGCTTCAAATATACCTCGCCCATATATGTCATCTTCAAATTTCACGATAATGTCCGATTGTTTCGAAATTAAGCACATCGTACCAAATTGCTCTTACAATGATGTGCTTTTAAATCAGTTCATCAGTTCATATACACTGGTGGCTAAAACTAAAGCAACTAAAATTGCAGGGCTCTACAGTAAAAATAGATGAGCTCAGCAATTTTAATTACATGTATCTGTTTTCGATTTTGATTTACTGGTTAAAACAAGAAGGTACACCTATATATAAAGGAGCAAATTATCAGTGATTTTGAAAATAATGTATCACATAAAATGTTTTCGGAGAAATATTCCATACATAAATCCGTGATTTATCGAATTATATGTTGGTTTCATGCAACTATACTAGTCGTGACAGTGCATCACGTAGGGATGCCGCGAAAAACATCAATTCATAATAATCAACAAATGGTCATAATAAAAACCAGTAAGGAAAGAAGTAAAGTCAGACGGTATGATACCCTTCACCACTATGGGTATATTAAAGAGATGCATCCGAACAGAACTAACATATATGACCTTTATCTAAATGTGAACCGACTTAGATCAATCCATAAACATGTCATTCGGGCACCCGTTGAATATTTGGAGCTCAAGTAACACGAAGTCGTTCGGAAATATATATGGGCTACATCAGTACTTCTACACGCAATTACGCCATTCTATTCTGAAAAAAACATGAAGAGTTTGTTGCGCCTTTTACTTAAACTTGGATGAAAATAGATATGGAACCTATATCCAAACATGAACCTATTATAATTAAAATTGTCACATGTCATGTTACTCAAACTTTAGTACGTTGTGCAAAATTGTGTGGCAAAATTAAAAAATAAAATTTAATTGGGCGAAAGTATATGGGAGCAATATCTAAATCTGAACCGATTTTCACGCAACTTAACACACAACGTTCTATGGTTTATTCAGTACGCTATGCCAAATTTCCTGCAAATCGAAGGATATATAGGGATTTTGTTTGTACACCATTTACATTAAATCGGTCGAACATTTTTATGGGAGCTATATCTAAATCTGAACCGATTTCAATGCGTTTCGTCTTTGGCCCAAATAGACGGGCTGTACCAAATTTCATCCAATTCAGATCATAATTGTGACCTGTACTTTGTTTACAATTTCACATGGACAGACTGACGGACGGACATGCATAAATCGACTTAGAAAGTGATTCTATGCATATTCTCAAAACGAACCATGTGTATATCTCGTTTCCTTTTGCCTGTTAGAAACATATGCACAAAGACATAATAAGCTGTACCACAGTGTGGTGAAGGGTATAAATACCGTTGGATATAACTTCAAGAACAGAGCATGGACAACCTATGATAGCAGGTCTACATGTCCGAATACCATCAAGATGGTTTGCGGAGGAGGTGTTCGGAGTTATACACATATTTTATTATTCGTTTTATATAAGGTATATATTTAATTAAAGAGGTTTCGAATTTTATGTCGACCAAATATATAATATTGACCCCGTTTTGTAGGATGCACCAAAGGAGAGGGCAGACGGGTTCCACCTTCAGACTTGATCTAGGCTGGTAAAGATAATAAATTGTGTAAAATTTGGTTAAAAAATCAGGCATTCCATTTACCAAATATTGGATTTATAAATATTGAAAATGTGGACCAGAAGCAGTGGACCAATGGATCCCATCTTCAAACTTGATCTATTCTTGGTTATGATAATAGGTTGTACAAATATGAAAAATTTAGACCATTTGTGCGGGAGGTACCAGAAGGAATGGACCAATGGGTACCATCTTCCTACTTGATCTAGGCTTGATAAAGATAATAGGTTATAGTTTGGTTCAAATCGGATAGTCCGTTCTCATGATATTATAAAATATTTTTTTTGCACAATTTTGACCTTTTTAGTTCCGTTCTAGTAATACCATAGCATAGACTAATGAATGTATAGACGACGAAATACACTCACCAGTCCTCTCTGAATTGAGTCTGCTGAATGCGCTACTCAATTTTAAATGCTGATTTACTTAAATATTTGAACCTTTTAATTTGGAATGCCACTAAATATAGTTAGTTTTATGTCCTCAGATAAAAACATTAAACAAAAATAGGCCATTTTCCCCAAAAAAAATGTCTTTAAAAATTTTTGAGTTTTTCATTTTGAGTCACTTGACTGCGATTTTTTTTTAATTTTTCGTCGTCTACATCTTGATTAGTCTATGCTTTTACTAGCTTTACTATTAAAAAAGTAATGGAACAGACCATTTGTGGGGGAGATAATAAGCCAATATTCCCCCCAGCCTTAGGAACATCATGAACATATAATCGGCCGAAAATACACATGGGAGACATATCTAAATCTGAACCGATTAACCTGTACATTTTTACAACTTAACATGGACACATACGGACATGCCTAAATCGATATTCTCAAAAATAATCATCGGCCACACAACATGTCTTCAGTAAAATCGAATCGGGGTTTTAGATACGTTTTTCAATAGAATCAGCTGTAATTTTGGATTCACTTTATGGTTGCAATTTGAATTTTGGTCTTGCAGTAAATCGTCCTACTAAAAATTGTCAAAAGCGGGCCAACTTTTAGGGAAGTCTCCATATAACGCTACACCGGGGTTTTAAACGAAGTGTCTCTAATATGATTTTTTAGGGTTCTCATTGGGGTGACAGATCTTCGTACTAAACATGATTAATATTGAATCACTTTTTTGGGTATATAACACTACATCCCAAATTTCGGTATTTTGCGGAGCTTGAACACATGCTTTGACCTAAATAGTTGTAATTTTTATATTTTGTATTCTCATTCAGAAGAAAATTTATCAATATTGGTCCGGGTAGCCCCCATTATTCGGTATTTTGGGTATATCAATGTCAATTTACGGTTTTCTATGAATCCCATAAAAGCTTACCATCTCATTTTCGGTATTTTAAGGACTTTAGCCGCATTTTCGAACCGATGAGACTGTACACACATTTGTGGGGTGTATATATAGATCCAAGTTTCGAAATAACCTACCAAAAATGTTCAGCTTTCTTATCGGTATTAATACATGTTTCGCCGAATTTCCTCATGGAAGAGATAATAATTTGATATATCGCGTTCCGTTTAGGTTTTCCCACTAGGGTCTCTGAATGTGGAACACTATTTTTTTCAGAGCATTAACAAACTACCATTACATAAAACCATAAATAGTTCCCATATAAATATCCCGATCGACTAAAGCGGTGGACTATTTTACTTTTTAATCCTCATTTTCTTTTTCGATTGATTACGTCCACAATCGGAGAGGAAAACGAGCTTCGAAAATTAATTTGATCGTATTACTAATGAAGGGAGTGCTTTGGAAATCAATAAAACCATACTGCCGAACAGTGTAGTTTAAAAAAAAGTTTACTTAAGTATTTTGATGAATGAAAATCAATTATTACACTGCGCATTGTTTATTTTCTCCGAACAATAGCAAGCAGAGAATTTGTTGAATCATTTTCTTAGCAGCCGGCTGCCAAAAAGTAGAAGAGTCAACTATTTGTGCCCGCTGCCGCCGCCACTAAATTTGTTGTTGGCACATACACATTTTCTATTTGTAAATGTTTTGTTTTTCATCTGAACGATCATCCTCGGGGAGGTCCTCGGGAGAAAGTACAAAACAAACAAACGAACTACAAAAATTTTGTTGAAATTACATGAAAGAAATTATGTACCAACAATTTTGTTGCTTTGAAAATTGTTGGTGCATTTTCATGTTCTTGGCGCTCACTCTCCGTACGTAATTGGCGGGTGGGTTGTTGGAAGTGGTGATCCATCAAATTCAATAAACTTTGTCGTTTTCAAAGCAAGTCAAGTGTACTGTGCGCCACATGCTTTTTGTCGTGTTTCCATTCGGAAACATTGAGGGTGATCTGTTTTTGGTTTTCTCTTGTTGTTGTTGGATGGGAAGGCAACACAGAAGCACCCAAAAGACAAGACAACAAACTCTACATTTTTGCATTGGCAAGGGCAGCAGCATTGGAAGAAATTGAAAAATATTGTGTGTGTGTGTCGATTTTTAAATATTTTCTTTAATATTTACCCATTTTGTTTTAAATTTGTTAGAAGTGATTAGTTTATACTTTTAAAAGATGTGTAAAAGTTAAAAAAATAGTTGTTAATGTTTTACTGTTACATTTTCTTATATCCACGATGTTTTCAAGAATTTCTTTTGCGGCTGTTGCTGTTGCTAAAAATAATGAATATCAAGGGGTTTGTTTTTAGCTTTTTCTGGGTTAAACATTTTATTTTTTCACATTTGAATACCTTTTTTAAATAAATTATTATTTTTTAAATTTTATTC